ATTTATTTAAGTATTTATTTATCTATTCAGTCACTTAGTTAGCTAGTCAGTTCTTTACTCGTTCATTTGTATAACTTTTTTTTTTTGAAGAAACGATGGCATTTAGACAAGTTTGAAGGCCAAAAATAACAAAAAAAAAACATTTCTTTTTTTGGTTTTTTTTTGATATTTATAGCAAAATAATGAAAGCTTTGAAGTTTTTTTGGCGAGTTCGTTTTACGTCAAAGGTTTATCTGTTATGTTTCAATCAAAAAAGAAGAATATGTTGGAAGCTTTTCATTTTTTCTTATTTTTGTTCTCCCTTTTTTTTTGCTACTTTATTCTATAAGTATTGTTCTTTTTCAATTGTTATATCATCTGTAAAGTCACACAAAATTATTGGACTATTTGATTGTTTGTTCGTTTGCTGTTTGTTGTTAATCATCATAATTCCATTTCAAGCTTTTGCTTCTTCTAATTTATCTCATTCTTTGCTTTTTTTTTTTACTGTTAAGCTTAAACAGATTATATTAACTTAATTTATTGATAACAGGCAATGGATTAGACGGCAAGGTGAGTGAATATTTTTATCTATTTGGCAATATCATTGGCTGCATAGCTTAGTTGTTAAGCCTGTTTAAGTATGCTGGCGGTAAATGCAAACAGTTTCTTCATGCAGTTTTCAACATGATTAATTAGTCCTAAAATTAATCAAAATACTGCACAGCAAATGAGTTCAGCCTGTTTTTTTTTTTCTGCTTACATTGCCTGCTGTTTAGATGAATATTATCTTTAGGGTTATTTCCTAATCTTTTACACAACCAATTTTTTCTTCTCACTTTTCGTTTTTATTTGTTTTTTTATTCTTTTTGCAGCGTAAAGCTCAGAAACAGTAGAAAATTAATGAGTGATCAGCCAGAGAAAAGGAGGTTTTTTTTAAAAGGTTTTTTTTGTATTTTTAGGTAAAAACTTGTGCACAAAACTGGTCAAAAAATAATTGGGCACTGTTGGAAAGTGAATTTAAAAGGAGATACTGTAACACTGCGCAAACTATATAAATTATAAGTAAAAGAAAAAATTGAAATCAATAGGGAAAGCTGAAAAAAGAACAGGAAGCCAAAAATTCAAATTTGGTGTTTATGAACCTTATTTAGACTGTATTTCTGTGGAAGTTTAGTTCAAAATAACAAGCTAATTCGAAAAAACTCTTTTTCCACGTCATCTTTATATCATCGTCATCATTGTCATCATCAACGTCAGCTATACTATTAACATTAAAAAAAAAA